AGGCAATGCAAAAGGACGGTGGTCATGAGCCAGGGCCGCTTGGTTCCCGCGGCCTTGCAGACATGTCGGCCTCTGCGGGTCCGTAGAGCTGCTTTGGTCGCGCCTTTGCGGTCGCGGGCCGGGCAGGTGTAGAACTCCGCGACAGCCTCCAGTACGATGCCCGAGATGGTTTTGGTGGTTCTTCGACACATTCCACCGTCGTGCACATTGTTATATTTCCAACGTCAGACTTCTCAACCTTGTCCTTGAAGTCATCTATGGTCTATGGTACTTAGCATAGATGCCTTGGTGTTGACACGCAAAAACCTCTGCACGTCCCCTTCATTGCCCTCCAGGAGCCTCGTTGGCCTTGATGATAAAGCTCCTTCCTGTGCTTCCCAGCTAAGCTCCCCAGTAGCTTAATCGCGCCAACGCTGCGATGTCGGCCCTGCTTACAGATGGCAATGAAGTAACTCGCTTCATGAGGTTGCCCAGGCATTTCGTCCTTGGACACGCCTTCCAGATTCTCTGGATGTGTTCCAATGTGACCTCGCAGCCAATCTCTCGATCCGTCCCGCGGATCCTCCGGGTTTTCCAAACTCCGGCAGTCGATCAGAATAACGAGGCTTCGGACGGTCGGTTCCCAGCCGAATACCTTATAAACGAGGCTCTTTACAGATGCCTCATCCTGCTTCCCATCATCCATGACTCGCCAGGCTTCATCGACCCAGTTAACTCCACACGAGACGAAGTACAGCTGGCCTTCCATGGCATGGGGATCACGAGCAAGTGCACGCTCGGGAGATTCGCGAGCTGCATAAGCTGTGTTTTCTGCTGGGACTCTCATTCGTCTAATACACTTGGGTAAGTCGGGATTCAGCGCCAGCCCTTCTGAGATATTGAAGCACAATAATTGGAACCTCGCACCCTGAACAATGGGAGTTTCAAGGTAACACCCTTCTTCGTCAAGGTAACCTGAAATCGCGCCATGTCCTTCACCAATCCCAGAGTGCTTTGGGCAAATAGGCTGAGCAAAAGTGGCGCCGTTGAAGATTCTGCCGGCAATACACGCACATCTTTCTGCATTTTGCATCCATCGACCTCCGCAAATACATGAATTCGCCCCTTCATCTAAAACGGCGTAGATCCCTTCACTCTCGTAGATGTCAACCTTAGGGAGAGTTAGAGTCACTTCATCCTCCTTCATATCCTGAGCTGCCATCAACCCCGTGCTTTCCGCGTCGGAGTGCGTCGGGGTCCTTTAGCGTCTTCGGGTAGATGATCCATCTCCGGCCGACGCTGCGACCGAACTCGGCAAAGCTCGCTGTCCGAGTGCCTCACCTGGCATTGCACGGAAAGGGTTTGGTGTTCCAGGTGACTGTCCTGCTTGATGAGGGGTAGCTGGCATTGCCCTTGATGGTCTAGAGGGTGTTCTCGGAGGTTGCTGTTGGAACAATCCTTGCTCAACAAGTACGGCCTCCCAATCTATCCTGCAAGATGCCATGAAAATGTCCTGCGAAACCATGTGACCCTCCACCATCGCCTTAAACTCTTCAAGCACTCTGACAACTTCTTCAGTACTTAACTCAGCTCGATTGATGATGGACGTATACATATTTGATACCAGATCAAAGCTTGTAGAACTCGCAGATTCGATGCTCTTCGCGGTTTGTTGTCGTCGCCTTGCTTCTTCTTGGGGCTGCTCATCTACGAAGTGACCACAATCTTTGCAGAATATTCTGGCTGTTGTTCTGCTCGATCCCAGTTTGCTTGTGTTGAGATGATTGCACTCATCGTAACTCTTCTTGAAAACTTCGTTACGACTGGTTTTTGGTTACCTTGCCACAATCCTTGCAAGTCCACACCTAAAGAAAGCGTTCGTGCCAAGCTTTGAGAAATCGTTGCACTCTCTGCAACTCTGGGCTAGAGGTGGGTTTGGAGGTTTCTTCTTAGCTGTTGCATGACCCGCGCGAAGCTGCTGGCGCTTTCGGGGATCCTGACCCTGCACTCGGCATGGGATCGGCACAGGTGTCTCGCTAAGAGGTGTTTCTCTGCGCACTACCTCCAGGGTGTCTGGGGTGATCTCGTAATAGTTCTGAACCGAAGTTGGCTAGGTGGAAAGATGGACTCTTCTCCGACCTTCCCCAAATCACATATCCTGGAAATCGACGCAGCACCTCCTCACACGATAAGCCTTCGTGCTGACCAACACGAAAATCTTATCGCTTCCCGGCGGCGGGTGATCTCTCATCCCATCGCTCCACGTTCCCCGATGATGTGAACGATACGAAGCTGGAGATCTGTATCCCATGAAAGCAGTCATGGCTTCACCGGCGCTAGATGCATCCGGCTCAGCACTAAGGTGCATGCACTCTCCTTCTGAGCTCGTGTCCGAAAGGCCTGCTTCGACCGCCACATAAGCTTGCTTCCTAGGAACGGTGGGCTTTGCTTGTGCCTTGGGACCTCTACCTTTCGGGCGTTGAGGATCTCCACTCCAATGACCTACTTGTCCACACTTCAGGCACTTTGAACGGCTCTTGATCTCCTGCAGTCGCTTCTTCCTAGCCTCATCGACAAGTTGGATTTGACCACCGGAAAACCTTTCTTACCTTTGCCAAACTTGCCCTTGCCACCGGCCTTGCCCATCGCGACGTTCGCTGCATGTTGAAGTTGAATGGCTTCGCCGGCTGCCTCAGGATAAAACAAGTCGCACTCTTCCATGCAATTCAATGCTACTGCCACTTCTTCATCTGACACTTCATGGGGATACTCTTCCATGGCATTGTAAATTTCAGGCACCTCTGAGGTTGCCTCAGGATACGAGGGTGTCCATGCTTGCCATCCCTCCAAACTCTCATAGTCCTGTCCTAGGCTTTCCTCACTCGAGGATGGACTTTCAGGGCTTGCTCCATAAAAACCATAGTCTTCACTCTGTTCGACCGAAACGCTGACTTTCCAAAGCCTTTAGCAAACCCTTTGCCTCCTTCTTCGCTTTTGCCTTTTCCTTTTCCTCCCTTTTACATCCAGGCCTCTGAAGTCTGCCGGGTAAGTATGCTGACACACAGGCGCGAAGCACAAACCCAGCACTCGTGGCTAGGGAACTACTCGCGCAGCATGACACGCATGCAAACTCTTTGGAAACTATGTCAATAAGAAAGACTTGTGAAAAAGCTGCAAGCATCTACGCAAATTAGCAACCGAAATCGCACTAGGGATTTAATGACTCTGCATTCGCATTCAAGCGCGCTTGGCGGCGAGCTGTCTTCTGAGCAAGTCGTTGCGCTTTATGTTGGGCCCGAAGAACACACAAATCATCTGGAGCACAAGAAGACGGTATAGGCAACGATGAGCCCGTTGAACAAGTAGGGGGAAGGCTTGTGCAACCTCCAACTATTGACCGGCGGCCCACCTCCGTAGAACTCACACCACTCTCCACGGTCTCAGCACGTCGTCCAGCAGCCTCAAGTGTTTCCAATCGATACTGTAGGGCACGGAGTGATTCCTGGGCACTAGACACGACATTCTCAGTGATCTTTTCCAAGAGGGCTCTGCATTCTTCCTGTGACAGCATCTCCTCCGATGTCTGAACCGACGTGTCAGTCTGTATTGCCTGGCAACCACCACACGACTCTGCCTGAGGAGCCATTGGACTCTGGTACACTGCATTCAGCTGCGGCATCGGAGCGTTCCCAAAGCCCAGAGAAGCATGTAGGCTGATAGGTACTCGGATGTCCTCCTGTGGATGTGCAAGAGAGTACAGAATTTGCCATAGACCTGTTGCCACATCATGTCGACCTTCTTTTCTTGCCAAACGAACACTAAACCCCAAGCACGCGCATAGCTGTTTGTGTTGACCCATCGCAGGCACAACGAGGGACCAACTCTAATTAGGGAAAACTATACACAAATACTCATTTGAGTCTCGTAGCCAAACCTTGAGCCAAAATGCCTTTTGGATACCCTGAACCAAATAGTCGCCCATTGCGCAAGTGAATCAAACCATGATGTTCTGTCATGATTCGGGCATAGTCTTCAAAGGTGTCCTTCCCCGCTGCACATGATTTGATCATCAATTGCTGATCCCTGCCCAATCCGCTCAATTCCAGCAACAACTCAGCCCGCAAACTGTCGGACAGCCTGACGCGTGAGTCTAACTGTTGCATCAACAACCACTATCGACGCCTTCTACCAATGTAGCTGACGACACTTTCGGATTGCTGTCTGGCCAACGGTCCAAACCTATCCTGACCACTGCGGAAAGGAGCTTGTGCTTCTTGGGTTTGTAGGGGAAGAACCATTCGCCGAATTTCCTCGATCAGCTTTCGAAGTCCGCCTGGTTGTCCCAGTGCGGCAATACCCATCCACGCTCCAAGTCCGGAACTGTCGATGCTGCCTTGGGGGTTCTTTCTCTCTTCCCAGTTTCTGGCTTGCTCGATGAGGAGAAGGATTCGTCTTTCTTCTTCCTACGATCCCTTCGGCATTTCTGCTCGAAAGCTGCGATTCGTAGTTCTGTCCTGAATTCCCACTCGCGGTAATCTTGTGGATTTCCATCGTAAATGAAAACACCTGTTTTGGTCACGGCAGATGAATACGCTTCCTCGGTCCGATACAGACATCTCGTCGCCGTACGGTCGATGATATGTCTCCTCTCACAATAACTCGAAACCAAACAACCAAAAGGTCGCAGTGCACTTCCAACCTCCACCACACCAACAGCCGTACGGTCTGTGGTCTTAATCTGGAAAAGACAACCAGTGTCCAAAGGCCTCGCTGGAACCTGCCTCCGCACGAGGGGAGTACAAGCTCCGCTACCAATTTGAGTAACGAAGCGCACAAGGACACAATTTTCACCATATGCTCAAGAGCGCTCTGTAATCCGAAACAGCAACAGTAAACATAAATCAAGCTCTGAAGAACGGCACACGCTTAAGCTGTACATGACGATATGGTGTTATCTTCTCAGGGGGTTTAGGCGATTGAGGGTTTATGGGGTTTTTCGGGGTTCACAGTTTCCGAGCGGCCTTGCAGATCCGAGCTGTCACTGGCACTCGGGAGATACTCCTGCGAAAACGCATTATGCCCACAACCGCCCCCGCCCCCCCCCCCCCCCCCCCCCCCCCCCCCCCCCAACCAAAAAAACTAAGAGCGCACGGGGCAAATATCAGCTAACTACGCGTCCCCTCAGACCCAAAACCCAAAACCCAAAACCTAAACCCTAAACCCTAAACCCGAGAAACCCTATGCGGAGATGATCTTGTAATAGGTGAGTTCAAGAGGTTGTAAAACAACCACGACAATGTTTGGTTCAAGATGGCCTTGGGAGCCATCAGCTTGGTGAAAGGAAAAGTTAGGCGCGCAGGATTAGGGTTTGGGGGCGGTGGTGCTAAAACCCGCGGTTGGGTTGTTGGCTTAGGCCTCGGTAACCTTCACTGGACCCCCCCAGCCTTGGTTGGTGCCCTTTCAGGGAGAACTCCGCTAAATTTAAAAGTTGTAACCTTTAGTTCCTTGTCCCCCTTTTGGTCATCCCGTAGGCGATGAGCCCAAATTATAGGTTCCCTGCGTCGCGGTTTAAGAGATCAAGGGTGTTAGGAAGAAAAACGTGGATTCGCAGCGCCCGCGCTCTGGAGATAAACTGACTACCGGGGTCCATTGTGATCAAGAAAAAGGTTGGTTGTGGAGGTGCAAAACTGGAAAATCAAGGGACTACAGGGTCCGGATCAAGGGCCCAGGGTCCGGATCAAGACCCAGCGCGGAAAGGGTCAGTATTTCTGGCAGAAACTTTGGCGAAGATGCGAGACACCCTAAGGCTGGAGAGAAGCGATCTTGTTGGGATGAGACCAGTGGCAGGAATGTGAACTGGAGGCCGCTGTACTGGGTATGCGGGGGGGGTGCGGGAGCGTCATCATCGTCGAGTTCGTCAGGAAGGGTTCTGGTTGAGCAATGTGCTCAGACTGAGTTGAGTCTTGCCGATTTTGCAGCTCTGGCTCGTCAAGGTAGCATGAGACCAGTGGCAGGAATGCGGAGGCCGCTGTACTGGAGATTATGCGGAGGGGTTTGGGAGCGTCATCATCGTCGAGTTCGTCAGGAAGGGTTCTGCTTGAGAGCAACGTACTCAAACTGAGTTGAGTCTTGCCGATTTGGCAGCTCTGGTTCGTCAAGGTAGTGTGGAAGCAGTTAGAGAAGAAGGTGTTTTGCTTTCTGCCACTACGGATGATGGGTTAGGGGAAATAGCAAAGGAGGCACCATAACTCCATTATTAGGAACCCAAGAACCATCTAGTACGATTGGAAAATTGTCTGGAGAGCTGCAGAGTATCGCTGATCAACACCTGGATCAGGAATACGATTCCGTTGGACTTCGGTGGAATTTGCTGTTCCGGACGACGCAAACGTCAGCGTGGTGGCTGACGGACCATTCGCCTGGCAGCAGAACTGGCCCCTTCATGGAGCTGGATTTGACTGAAGAAGAGGCCAGTGGCTTCATGGAACGGCTGGTGAAGCGTCGGCCGAGCAATCCTGAGCTGGCACGTTCTGCGAGTGCTCCTGTCCTGCGCGCAACAAGTGCCTTAGCGGGCAAGCAAGCAAGCAAGCAAGCTACAGCAACTAAGCTACGAAGCCGAAGCCCAGCCCTATACAATTTCTATAAACCCTAAACTCTAAACCCTGCCTAAGTGTAGAGGTCTGCTGGCTAACCCTAATTAAACCCTAAACCTAAACCAGGACTATGGCATGGCTCCTCCACGCGCGCTCGGGCAGTATGATTGACGGCGGCTTGCAGAAGTGCGGTGGAATCAGTGTTTGTCTTCGGCCTCGTTCCGCCGAGCTTTTTCCATTTGGGTTTTGGAGTTTAGGATTTACGGTTTATGGTTTAGGGTTTATGGTGTGTGTTCCGAACCCTGGGAAAGGCCGGCCACAAGTAGGGAACAAGACCTCCAGAGGCTCTAGACGCCAATCGAGGTTGCCCCACCCTCGACGCACACTCGATGCAGTCAGGCGGCAAGAACTCCGACTTGGTCGACTCACATGACAAGTCTGGCTCGGCTCTTGCCCACCCAGCCGACGAGACCAAGACAGCTGCCCACGTCAGCCACGGGCCCATCGCTTTCAACGAAATAAAAAAGCGCCTTAAGTCTCTTGACCCAACATGGCTAGCCGCAGTCCCAAGCAACGATGGGGCCACCGTGTCAGATCTGTACGAAGATGTGCGAATTTTTTCGGGACCCTAAACCCTAAACCCTAAACCATAAACCTCAACCCGAATCCTAGGCTCAGACAAAAACCAGAAGCACCTGTCCTAAACTCAAGGCCGAGGCTGCCCCCCTTCAGTTTTTTTTTGGCGGTGCCCGAGCCCCTCACCTCGACAGCTCGGCGGCCGGTAGCACCCACGATTGGCCCGGCACCCTCCTACCCTAAAATCCAGCATCAAAGCTTCTGAAGACCCGGCCTTGTACCCCGAAACCCCAGCCCAGAGGCCCCAAAAATGCGCTCCCAGGAGACGCTAAAGCTGGACCCGTGACCCGTTTTCCCCCCCCCCCAAAAAAAAACAAAACCTGACGCCCTGGAACGGAAGAAGGTTTTGGAAGTGGGCGGGTGGCTTGAGTTTAGGCCTAAACCCTGGTTTGGGTGGTTTTGCCGCCTGAAAGGAGGTGTGAGGGTGGCCCTCCACGATCGGGCCATGGCCGCCCTTCGCATTGCTTGATGCCTTCAAGGCTCTACTGAAAACCGTCACATTTACAGCTTGTACGCCATAGTACAGCAAACCCTAAACCCTAAACCCTTTTTTAACCCTAAACCCCAAACCCGAAACCGTAAACCCTACACCCTAAACCCTAAACTTTAGCCCTAAGCCCTCTGAGGCGCCCTTGGATCCATATTGCATGCTCGCGTGACTGGTTTCCAACACAGTCCGACATGTTAGGCTAAGTGTCACGAGTGGGCGTGTTGAACGCGATTCTTGTTTTGGAGAACGAAAAATTTGCGATCTAAGCATGAAAGTTTCGAACTCGATGGCAGAGACGAGTCTGGAGCTTGAACACTTGACAAGAAATTAGTTTTGAGGAGGTGGGAGCGTGGAAGAGCTGTAACTGTGCAGCGCACTTTTTGGCAGGTAAGGCTAAGGGTCCAAGGCCTGCGAGTATGTAACATGATTCAAACAGTCTCACTTTATTAGGGGATAAGTGTCAGACCCAAAACTAAGGAGTAAAAGAAGGGGAGATGTGAACTCGGCTGCACACTACTCACTCCTGGCTAGGTGATATTTCACACCCGTCTTATCTCCGAGTCACATCGACTCCTTGCAAGAAAAGTCTTAGTTAAGTCAGTTCCATTCTGTCGTCTTCGTGGTCGAATAACATCATCTCTCACATTCGTGAGGTATGCAGCGGAGTGAAAGAATATAAATATGTATGTGTGTATCCGTAGCCATACCATTGTTACTGTTGTTGTCCGTAGCCATTGTACCAAATGAGGAAAGAAATCCCTGCGCAGAAACATGTGAGAGAAAGTGAGGAACTTTCCCATTGTTTCATCGTTTCGAACCAAATCGAACCAAATACTGCAAGTTCCAAAACACACCATGGAAACATCGCCATTGTGTCACCTAAATACCTCAGGGGAAGGATAATTACTGTAGCCGACACGGTGACGTATCCGGCGTTGGAGACATTTCTCTCCACGTCAGGGCATTCGCCCGTTTTATCTTTGGCCTGGCGTTCTTCTTCTCCGTCTCGATCGATGCTTTCGGTGTGTCCTGCGCGAAGACATAACCTTACCATCCGATCGTACCTCATTGATGTCATCGTCGCGAAACGTCTCCTTGATCGGCCGTACCTCGTCAGATGAAAGGTCATTGTCTGGACATGTATGAACTGATGCAACTTCGCTGGCTGCGCAACTGCTGCAAGGCCAAGGCTCCGCGTGCCATTGCACCCTCGGAAAACTGCCAAAGGGTGACCCTCTCTAAGGCAGGGTACCCTGACACAGGGCCGGGCAGCTCGTTGATACTCGACAGTCAGGGCACTGAGGAGGGCCATGTTGGACGCACGTGGTAGTGCACTGCACTCCTGCTCCGTGTTTTCGCGGGTGTACACGCGCCCGAAACCTGTCGGCGGCCGGGTCATACTGTGGAAAGTGGTATGTTACCTTGAGGTGATGGGTCCTATATACTCACTTCGACCCTACACACGCGCCCGAAACCTGTCGGCGGCCGGGTCATACTGTGGAAAGTGGTATGTTACCTTGAGGTGATGGGTCCTATATACTCACTTCGACCCTATCTGCAGGCGCCACATCTGGACACCTTATGCGCTATGGAATCCCGTAAGGCCTGTATGATCTTCGAGGGGATGTGTATAAAAAAAAAACGCTGGCTCCAGACCTTACTCTCGGCGCCTTCTACGAAAATCTCGATGACGTCATTGGCCTGCACATCCACAGGGGCTTCCCTGGTCTCTGGCAATTTAGCCGCTGCTCCATCCTGCAGTTGTACCAATCTGCGTTGGTCCAGTGTGCCTGGCCCGTTCGGCGGCGGGGGATCGATGCCGAATTCGTGGTTCCGGTTGGAAATCCATGTAGTGGGGCCGTCGGTCTTGCCAAAAGTCTCCAACACAGAAGTCGGCCCGACCTCGCCCATTCGGCGGTCTAGACCTTCTTCCCGGCACGTACTGCACGTCTCCTGGAGTGAATGGTGTTGCGATGGGGAAACATAAGCGGGATGACCCCTGTGCTGTCCCGGGTGTCGAGGCGCTCCCCATTCGGGGGATCCAGGTCTCTGTAAACGCTGCTGCGGGGTCGTCGCGGAAGACGACGCCGGCTGTTGCTGCCTCTCCTGCAACAGCTCGAGGCGGACATGTTCGACTGTTTGCAGCATTTTCGTGTGGGAACGCGTGGCACTTCCGGCAGGAAATGCAAGCCGGGCGCGGCACACATCGCGGGCGACCATGCATGGCTGACCGGTGGGAGCACGCGGACACCGCCGAAAAGGGGGCTGCGTTGCAAGAACAAGAGAAGCGTTCTAGGCTACAAACCCAGACTTGGTTTTCTTGCGGTTTACAGGCTGCCGACACTACTTCGAGGAGGCGCAGACGCAGCCGCCGGGCTTCCAGAGGCAAAACTTTTCCTGGGTTGTCGTCACATACCCGAAGGTTGTTGGCTGGCAGTTTTGCAGTACGCCGTTTCTGTCCACAACACGTTCACATTGCGCCGGGTTTCACGAGAAGCCCGAGCAGCCCTCACGCAACCGTCTTTCTGGTGCGGGTGTCGCATACTCCTGCCCGACACGTGCGCCTGCAAGGTTTGCGCCTGTCCCGCTGCACTCGCGCCCTGTGGCCGCCCCAGTCCGTGCAGCAATTGCGCTTAATGCGGCCATCAACAGCTACCACATTGATCTTGCCGGAAGGGCCCTTACGCTCGTACATCTGTAAACAGGTCGCAGTGCGCAAATGTGCACATGTGTGGCTCGCTGCGTCCGCCGGTCCACCGCTGAGCACCCTTCGCATTTGCGGCAGCCAAGTGTTCACCCCCACAAACATGGTACGGCTGCTCGTTGGATATACCCGTCATCTCGAGCGCGATACTCTCGTGGAGGATGTGTTTCGCCCGGGGCATCAAGCTTGGGGCGGGTCCTGGTACTTTCGCTTTTCCTACAAAGAAGGCTTGCTGTTCAGCTGCCAAACAGCTTGCGTAGCGCGCGGCGAGCCGGCGCCTATCACGCATCGGTGTAGCGACAGTGTGGTTGTGTATCTGGTGCCAATGCAGTGCGCCTGCCTTTCTCTAGTCGTGAGTTGGCGTGTTACTGGAACGACAGGCTTGCGAGTTTGTGTCGGCTGCCTATGTCCTGCACGTTTCCCAGTCACGACATGGCTTTGCGTTGGTTTTGTGTGCTGGAAACGAGGGGACGTTCCCAGAGGAAGTCGAGTCCCCTTCCTCAGCTGTGTTGCCCGTGCTGACAGCGCTGCAAAGCCAAATGGCTTTGCCCATTGGTGACATACATTTTCACGGAGGCAGCGCAAGGGTCACGCCGAAGAGGCCGGCTTGGGCTGACGAGGTGGGCGACAACGAGGAGAACGTGGCCAGTCAGCATGTCAGCGGAGACGAGTCGGCTGTGCCGCGTGTCTCTGATCAGGCTCAGAACCGTGCCCCGGGCTGTCACGGCCTGGAACGGGAAAGACATGCAGCGTGGGCAGAGCAGTTCCTGCGATCACGAAAACGCAGCGCGTCATTTCTTCAGGCTTGCGCGCAGTTGCTGCAGCAGGACTTGGGAGCCTTGTGCGAGGACGTAGCTGATTTGATGATTCACAATCATGGCTGGGCACATTTTTTCAGAACGACGTTTTCAGCGAACATCCAATGCCACTACATCTGACGCACATGCTGCTATCTAACGTTCTACATGTGGATAGGACATTTTCTTTTGCTTGGGCACCACTCGGCTGGATTGCGTGACCAGGCTTCGTGCTTTGAAGAAGTCCACGGTCTGGTTGTTGACAACAGTTTCAGGATGGCGGCGACAAGACCCCTAAGCTTCACAGCTGCGTCTCAGCTATGCCTTTCTATTCTGCCAATGCTGCCAATTGGAATCATCATACTTGACGCTCAGCGTGCATTCTGGCACGTGACATGGGAGCAGCCCACGCGGGTTCAATGCTGCCAAGCATTGCAGCTGATCGCTGCAGGAGCACGCTGCGTTGCCTGGTGCTCAGTGGCCGAGCGTTGGAGGTGCACGCTATTGCGCAAACCAGGCGCTGCGCCCTGGCTTGGATCCTTGTGTCCTGGCGCAGGTTCGGCAACCCTGCATAACCTCGTTGCACACATCGGAGCCGGAACTGATCCCGGAGAAGAGGGAACGTGCGACTTGGCAGGAGGATCGGCTTGCAAACCCCCAGCAGCAGAAGGCTTGACGCCCCAGCTTGGAGAGCGTGTCATGATCCTGAAAGACCACTGGCTGCGGTTGATTTTGAGTGGGGCGAAAGCTATGGAGCTGCGGCGCAGACGTGCCAAAACAGGCTGGACATGGCTGGGCAAGGGCAACATCATCCACGCTCGAGCCAGAATTGTTGCGTGCCAAGAGCTGACAGTGGAAACCTTCGAGACATACCCAACGCAGCATCAGCTTGAAGCCGCCGGCCCTCCGTATGTCCGAACTTTTGCGCTGTGGCTGGAGGACGTGCAGCTGCTCGAGAAGGCGACAGCTATTTTCAAGCCATGGGGCACCGTCGGGCGGGCAATCGTGCGGTTCCAACAAGCAGATCTACCGACGCGGACAAAGACGCGGCCGAGGCAAAAAGCAAGGCATGCCTCGTACCAAGAAGCAGGCCAAGCTATTACAGGAGCGCGGTTGCGCAAACATGGGCCTGACCAACGTTGGCAACACGTGTTTTCTGAATTCTGTATTGCAAGCGCTATTTCACACGCCCGACATAAAGACCGTGCTGCAGTGCCACATGCCCCGCAGTTGCGAGGAGGGCTGCGTGTGGTGCTTGCTGAGAAGCACAATGCGGGCACGTGACATGGGCGTGCAGATCGTGCATGCATGGAACGGTGGCTGCCCCTGCTGCAAAAGTTCCATCTGGATGTTGGCGGTCAGGACTCTGCCCTTCTTTTTGCAGGTGCCGTGTGTGACGCTTTGCAGGAGCAGCGGAAGGCAGGGCTGCCCAATTGCTTGAGGGTTTGGCATGGTGGAGGTAAGTGGGAAAGGAGACAGGCCACGTACATGTTGCTGCATCTTGTGGTTGCAGCGCGTGTCATGTGCCTCACGTGTGAATTATATAGCGGCTGCAGCTCTCTAGATCGTTATCACACTGCCAGACGCGCTGCTGCCAGGACGTCAAGAGATGTTGCCAGGAAGACATGCTTGGTGCATTTGTCGAGCGCGCAATCCAACACCGCTGCTCCAATCCGGACTGCGAGGAAGGGTTAACGACGACATCTCGAACATCGTCAGAGACATGGTCGTGTTAATGCTAGAGAGCAATGCGTGGGAGGACACCAGCATAGCGCAACTGCTTTCTCTATACCAGGAGCCGCAGCCACTGACGCTGACTTGTGAAAAGTGTCACGCGACACGGAGAGGGCGATCGCACGCGTCGATCACAGGCACGACGCGTACGCTTGTGCTCGGTATCCCTCGGGCTGGCGAAATCGATGAGCAAGGAAGGCAACGTCGCCACAGCTGCTATGTGAGGTGCGAACAGAAAGTCAAGGTAAGCGCGGGAAGCGCCTTCGTTCTCACAGCGCTCGTGGAGCATCTTGCAGAAGGCGAGAATACCAATTCTGGACACTTCGTTACCTGGGCAAGGCATGGTGCCGGCTGGAAGCGTTGCGATGACGCCACTGTCGAGCTGTTCTCAACGCTTCCGGACGTTGTGTCCGGCAATGTGATCTTGTCATTCTATAGCAAGGAAACCTGGTCGGGCGACAGCGGACCTTGGGTGCGGGAAAAGCTGCCTGCGCAGGCAAGAGGCTTTGGATGGTGGGCTGATGAGCGGCATTGTGCAGTCTTCTAGTCTTCTACTACTACTACTACTACTACTACTATTACTACTACTATTACTACTACTACTACTACTACTACTACTACTACTACTACTACTACTACTACTACTACTACTACTACTACTACTACTACTACTACTACTACTACTACTACTACTACTACTACTACTACTACTACTACTACTACTACTACACTACTACTACTACTACTACTACTACTACTACTACTACTACTACTACTACTACTACTACTACTACTACACTACTACACTACTACTACTACTACTACTACTACTACTACTACTACTACTACTACTACTACTACTACTACTACTACTACTACTACTACTACTACTACTACTACTACTACTACTACTACTACTACTACTACTACTACTACTACTACTACTACTACTACTACTACTACTACTACTACTACTACTACTACTACTACTACTACTACTACTACTACTACTCTACTACTACTACTACTACTACTACTACTACTACTACTACTACTACTACTGCTACTGCTACTGCTACTGCTACTGCTACTGCTACTGCTACTGCCACTGCCACAACCACCACTACCACTACCACTACTACCAGTACCAGTACCAGTAGCAGCACCACTACCACACCCGCCGCTGCTACTCCTCTGGCTAGACCCCCCCCCCCCCTGCGAAGGCGAACCTTGGGGTCCGAAGCCGACTTGCGAGGGTCGGAAAAGCAAGGCAGGAGTCAGAAAAACAGTATGAGGGGACAGAAAAACGACGTCAGGGGACCATAGAGCAAGCTGGGAGAGGAGGAAAAACAAAAAGCCGGGGGCCTGAAAAGCAATGCCTTGGTCGAGCTCGTGCCGGGGGTCGAAAAACCAACATGCAGAGCCACAGGGGTCGAAAAAACAAGCACAGGGGCCGAAAAAACAAGGAGCCCTAAGTATAATTATAAATCTAGTCATATTTAAATGATCAATACCGTGAATCTCCCCATATCTATGTCCAGAATTACCAATTGAATTTACGATAATCCAAATTTGAAAGCTCGCAATTCAGAAACTTCAAATTGAGATTTCCCGGGTTTTACCCGTCCTCTCCAATTGAACCAGCATCAACTCACACGATAAGTAAGTCCACTTCTCGGTCATTGATGAGCCGTTAACATGCAAGTTCCGACCTTTGCAACAGCAATGGAAGCCATACAAGTCCTATGATTCCACGCAAGGCACCTGCCTCTCCGTCGACTCCGATCGCCGTGATGTCAGCCCCATGTTATGTGCAGTGCTTCTTCATGTTGCCGGTGTTAGAAGCAGATCCGGTGCAAAAGCATGATCAACTCGGGCTCCCTCCCAGCCCTTCCACGTGACCTGTGCTTCGCTCCGCAGGTTCTACCGTGCAGCACACCTCGTCCCTGCTCGTCGCTCACTTTATATCAAACACCACGACTAAAGCGCCCCTTTTTGTTCGCACCTGCTTTCGGGTGGAGGATCTAAGCGTGGGCCATTTACGTCCCGTTCATTATAGTTAAATCTCCTGGAACTATCTGTGAAATTCTTTGAGTTCCTTGTGGCTCTGAAAGCACATGCAACCACTTGAGCCCACTACCCTTGTGGCAGTGGGTCAACTGTGCTCGGTGACAAGCACCTTTGGCTCCAACCCACGCCGCTTGCGAGAGATGGAGTCCCTCAAAAATTAATTTGATGCGCTTCCTTCGGTCGTGGCCTTTGGCCGCTAGTCACTGCTAGTCGGCGTCCGGGTTCCACAAGACGCAGTACTCGAGGCAAAAGCTGGTGTTGTAGATCGGGACCTTGTAGCCGTCCACGGTCGGAGGGTTGTTGTCTAAGCTTGGACAAACCGATAGATCTGTGTCCACTGGAAAGCATGCTGTCACATTCCTTTCCGTGTTGTTGCCAGCACCACTAGTGGGATTGTTGAAGATACCGCCGGAAAGGAGCCAATCCGTCACCTGGGTAATAGGCGTCGGAGCAGTGAAGATATCGAAGTTTGGACAGTGATCGGTGTAAGCCAGATTGAAAGGGTACTTCTCAATGTTGGCCCAGTTGGCGAAGCCGGTGCGGTTGTTCATCGCCCGCAAGCCTTCGATCACCGCGAAGTTCCAGCGCAGGGCCAGCAGGGGCAGCGGAGTGGAGAAGTTCCCGAAGAGCCAGTCGGCCTGGCGGATCGACTCGAAGTCCGACGTCTCGAAGCCAATCTCCGCCCAGAGCGCTTCCGACAAGTTGAAGGGCATAGGCGCCTGGGCGAAGCGCAGCGGCGGTTGACACGGGAGCGCAGCAGGCACGAGTTGGGCGAAGGTCCTGTCGACGCACCTCGGACCCAGGTAAAGGTTGAAGATGACATGTGTGACATCCTCCACCGCCAAACCATCCTGGATCCAGACGCACCAGCACTGGGCCACGGGTGGGATCACAGGCTTTGCCGCGCTGCTCAAGAAAGGCCCCGAAGCGCCCATGTGCGTCCAGAGCGAGACCTTCCGAGCAGTTGGAACGTTAGGGTCGATCTGCCGGACACGCGAAGCGCCGATCACGAAAAGGTTCCAGTCTGCTAGCACCTTCAGTCTCAGTGGCGAACAGGGATGTTAAAACGGACGCAAAAAACCGCAACATTAAGGTACTCCCATGGTCATATCAAGACACCCCTCCATGAAAGCTTGTTCCACCCCTTTAAACCTTCAGCAACGTACCCCGAGTATGTTAAGAAGCCTCCAAGACACCTCCTGTCGCAGTGCCTGCTCCTCGACTGGGCCCAGGGGGAGATTCGTTTGCTCGGACGGATCACTGTAGAGATCGAAGTAACCTGGGCTTTAGGCCCAGGCTCTAGTGAACAACATTCATTTTAGTTGCCATACTTTGGACTTCAGGGTCTCCGATGGGTTCGACTAGAGAGGTTGCAAGGGACTTGAAGTAGATTACCATAAGAAGGAGAGCCTGCAACTTGCTGCTCATCCCTGTGATGGTAGAAACGAGTGACAGTAGGGTTTGCTGCAAGGTCGAACGTACTTGTAGCCGAGGTCCGGGATAAACTCGGAGTTGTTTGGGAAGTTGGGTGTCCAGTTCCCATCAGAGATAAGAGTGCTGTTCTCGGTGAACCAAATCTTCTTGAAGTCTGTGATGTCCGGTCCCACTCGCAGTTCCATCACCTCAGAATAGGTGATCTTGCGCGGGACCTGGCTCTTCTCAAGGATGGCCCTCCACATGGGGACACCCGTGAGCGGCCCAGGTGGATTCCGCATGCCTCCGTCTGGGTATGGCCTGCACGTGATCATCTCCAACAAGGTTTCGGCCAGGTCGTTGATGGACATCACGGTGTTGCTTGTGAAAGGCGACAGTCGGTGCTTGTCCAGCTCCGCACCCACCCAGCCGCCAGCGAAGAGGGCATTCACGCGCTGGCCGCCCTCGAAATTGTTGAACTTCCCACCACGCAGCGGGTAGTTATTGTTGGCAGTGCCTGCATAGATCGCGCCACCATTGTCGGAAGTGAAAAAAACAATAGTGTTCTCGTACTGGCCTTGCTCCTTCACGGCCACAATGAGGTCTCCGACAACCCAGTCAACATATTCCAGGGCACCGTAGGTTGCTGCTCGCAGATCCTCGTTCTGTGGGCGACTGACATTGGTCAAGTTTTTTGGCGCGAACCGGCGCGGATATTGGATGGGCAAGTGCATGAGCTGCAAAGCATGGACAAGGAAGAGCGGCGCCTCCTCGTAGTCGTGCTCTGCAATAATCTGCCGCGACCGCCGCCGGATTTGCTCGTCAGCCACATCATCGAGAGACTCCTTGAAGCTCTTGCAGCCAACCATCGCCTCCTCCTCGTTGAGGTTTCCAAGGCGCAGCTCTGCGAGCACCAACTCGCACCAGGAGGAGTTGAAGGTCTCCATACCATTCTGTCGCCAAAACCCCGGCAAAGCGTCCATCAGTGGCGAAGCTCCTCCCACTGCGAATCCCGGCTCAGTGCCGTCGCAGCTCTCCATGCTATCCCCGAACCAGCCCATGAAAGTCTCATACCCCATGCCCATGGGCGTGTTAAGGTAGGCTCCGCCTCCGATGCCCCACTTGCCGTTCAGGTGATTTCGGTAGCCGAGCTCCTGCAAACGGTTCGCGATCGTGAAAGTCCCTGGCTGGACCCCTCCGACAAACGGCGTCGTCCTTTTTTGTCTGTCCAGGTCCACGTAGCTGGCGTTGGGATCCCAGTTCCAGACATTGTTCGGCACCCATGGGTTCAGGGCATCCAAACGGCCTGTCTGCAAAGCTCCGCGGCTAGGCGCACACCAAGGGGTCGCATAGAATCGATCCATGACGATCCCTTCACCTGCCAACCGATCGATGTTAGGGGTGACGACATCTGAGTTGTTGAAAAAATTGGCACGGAATCCGACCTGATTGAAGCCAAGATCGTCGACGATGATGATGAGGATATTGGGCTTCTTTCCTTTGCCGCCATAGGAGCTGTACGAGTTGTAGCGGTTGTATCCGTAGCTGCCATAGCGGTTGTAGCCCCCGCGATGGCGGTGCCGCCACCAAGAATCCTCCGACGAGTGTTGCAGCATCTCGGATATCTCAACCTCGGAGAACTCTGCCTCGCAGCCCTCGCCGCCGCAAACTTCGCCACCAACCCCCCTGAGGCAAGCGATTGAAAACAAAAGCAACGGCGACATGGCCAGGACCTCCTGTGGAGCTGGGAAGCTCAGACACAAAAAGGCATCAACTTCCAGGATCTCTGAAGCTTCAAATGGAGCAAAAGCTGCGAGGCCAGCTCAAATCGAACGTGGATGAACGTGGGACTCCTAGGGTTTCATGCGCATCTTGGCAGGTCATGCCCTGATGGGGCCCATCTATCCCGGAAGCCACACACCCACTGAAGCCGGGTACAACACGGCCCCAGTATGCCCCGGCTTTTCCTCGCCACATGTGGCAGGCTGGCCCGCCGACGGCGGCCGTCCTCGAAGGAACGATATCGTCCAGGAATTCACACGCAACACCATTCAACCAATCTCCATGCCAGCTTTCTCGAGCTGGCACCTGTTTACCTCAAACGCCTATTTTGGTACACATGTCGATGTCGTCATGCAGAAGCGTCGTGGACATGCTTGGGCTATATGGACTTGCTACATGGAAACAATGGAGTTGCTGGTTTTGACGAACATTGATGGCTTGCGAGAGTTGGAGACGTGTACAAGGCGTTCATCTGATTTCCTTGCGCTCGTTTATAAGCCTGTATATGAGACTTCTTTGCAGCATGAACAATGTAGAACATGAATATTGCGCAAACAAACGCAGGTAGCGCGTTGTCTAACGCCAGTCCCTTGCAACGGGGTTATGCGCTTTTCTCCGTAAGACAGAACACGCTTTTTGACTTGCTTCACGGAAACCATGAGGTTTCGGTTTTGGTGGACGTGGATAGCGTGTAAGCAGTCGTTCAAAGCAGGTACTCAGCAACGGGAACTAAAGCTTTTCTTCCATGCAGTCTGCGGGAAAAATGCCTTTTTTTCCGTACAATCCACGGAAACAAGCGTGAATCACTCCAGCCCGTTTTAGTCCAAAAACTCAAACACATGCACGCTGGCAACCCTCCAGCAAAATTGCCCATCCGACGTTTTGGGCCAGCTGATTCAAGGCACATCTGACCCGTTACCTGCCACTTCTCCAACTCTCGCAAGCCATCAATGTTCGTCCAGAAACTCCATGGTTTCCGTGGGGCAAATCCATGTAGCCCAAGCATGAAAACCACACTTCCGTACGATAACATCGACATGTGTACCAAAATCTCAAGAAATCATGCTTTCAACCATCTGGCAGACTTATATGCATCGTGGAGTCATGAAGTGTACATGTGCAATTTGCTGAACTGCCACTCTCAAAGCATTTGTTTTTTTCAACTGCTTTCACTCAGACAGCTAAGTGGGATGCTGAAAACGCTGGCCGCACGGACATGTGAACTTCTTCCACTCACTGTCAGCGAGAAAAAAACCAGCACCGTCAGGTCGCGCAGCCTCACAGTGCACATGGAAGCCTGAAAACGTATGTGCACCCGCCCGCAGTCTGAACCGCAAATCTGCTAGCAGAGAGCTCTCTAGTGTTGATGTCTTGAACCACACAAAGCTCTGCGTTCACAATCGTGCGCCTATCTCAACCCTACCAGTCCAATTAAGCCCCGCAAGCCGCGAAAACCCTTTGAAGCCCCAAAGGCTGTCTGATCTTTGAAGGCAAGCTGCCGTAGATAGCAGCAAGGCCACGCTCTCCGTCTTGGGGCGTCTGGCGTCTGGGCACCGCCTCTCTCAGAGCCTGCAGGCTTCGGGAGACTAATAGCAACCAAATAATTAACAGCAACTAATAATTGAAAGAAATAAAGGAAGAATCACACTCATATTTATAGTAGGAATAAACATTATGCGACATAGCGATAAACAGAATGCACCTGGGGAGGAATTTAGGATTGAGAGTCTCGGGCTTCAGGCTTGGGAGAAGTTTTGAGGGTTCAGAGTTATAGTGCTGTCTAAGGGTTTATCTAGGGAATATGAAGGAATGGGATGTTGCTAGGATTACTACTACTCTTGCCTTCCCTACTAGCCAAGAATAAGATGTAGCATTGGCTGTGTACAAGGTCCAGTTGGCTTGGCTCCATACATTCGACCCCCGTATCACTCCCAGATTTTTCTCAGGAGGGCGCACGGTTGCCCGTCAGACCCCAGACCCGTCATCGCCTCGTAGTAATTCCCCTCCAAGTTGGGCCGCAGCTCAGGGCAGGTGCCATCGCCACCATGGCCTGCACGGGAGGCATCGGGCGTCGAGGGGGCAGCGCCGCCGCGAGGCCCAGAAGAGGAGACCTAAGGCCCAAAGAGAAACGAGGAGTCCGAGGTCGGCTTCCGGTTCTAGGGGTGTAGTGTGTACGGCGTAGGGTGTCAGAACTGAGATCAGAGGTGTAGTGTCGGGGGCCCAGAAGTTGGGGATGACGGTAGAGGTTGAAGGTCTAAGATAAAGGATTGGGGGTATAAAGCTTAGGGTCTAGGGTTCTGGGCCCGCTACACCACTCACCAGCATCCGCCCAACATGCACACTCTGGGCACACACTTCTTTTGCTCACCTTCATTAAGCCCTCAAACCATACGGGCCAATCACATCAGGGGGGGGGTCTCAAACATCCTCCCTTATCCAGTAACTACAGCAGGCTTTGCGAAGAGATAGACTGCACTCTTTCCATGTCTGCACAATTTTAAGCGGACAGGGAACCATTGTTCGTAAACAGGCTAAACCCTAAAGGCTCTAGGAGCCTAAAGCCCTACGTGCGCAGATGGGCCTGGGGCATGCCAAGTGGGTGCCGAACAGAGAAAGCTACAACCCCGAGCCAAGTGACTGGGACTGGATTCGGTGAATTCGATTGCAGCAGAGTCGTTGGCGCCGGAAAACCCTTGACCCACGAGCTTATGCCCCGGACGCACGATCAATCCGCGACATCCAGTTCCGGCCTCGTCTCGGAAACAAGCCACCCCCACGCATTGAGAACCACCAAGAGGGTGCATGATTTGCTTGAAGCATGCCCCATCCTTGTCAATGTCGAAGCTTCTCGGCAAGCACCGGAGGATATCCCCATTCAGGCCAAGTTCCTCCGGCTTCCAAAATCCTTCCTCGGATGGTGCCACCCGCGCTTGAGAATTGAACTCCACCATACGATCGTTGAATCCGCTCATCTGGACCTGCAACGTCTTGGGCAGGGACCCGCCGCAGCGACTGACGATCTTTGCGCAACTCACGTTAAGCATCAACCAATGGCCGGAACTCCACGAAAAGTTGTTGCCATATGCCTTCGATTCGGCAGGCAAGCAAACCAACATGTGGTCTGCTGGGCCCTCCTCTCCATGGATAGCGCCTTGCATGAGCGTGCCCCGAGCTGAGACGTACTTCTCTTCACCATTTGTCTGTCGCCTGTGCTGATGGCAAGCTGAACTTGAAAGTGGGTACGCGTTGGGTCTGTCTACTCATGGCCGGCTCCCTGAATGTCATCAGAGAACATGCGCTGCAAATGCTGCTAAACAACCCGAGCCCTTCATGCAAAAGTTGTTTCCTGGCGTTTTCCGGCTGGGTCGTCATTGTCAGCGGTTCGGGACTTTCAGGGAGTTCCATGATCATTGTATGGCACTGCTCGGAATGTGCATCGGGTTTTACGGGACCATACAATTTAAGGGGTTGCATGGCATCGGGTTTTACGGGACCATACAATTTAAGGGGTTGCATGGGATACTGTCCGGGCAGCCCTTACAAGGATCTGTAGCTCAGATCTGATTTGTGTATATATATATATATATGTACACAAAAAACCATGTTTCGATACGTTCATGAAAGAAAGAGAGAGAGAGAGAGAGGTCTATTGGGGCAAGAATCTAGGCTCTTCATGATCTCTCTCTCGACAGCGCTGAGCAAGTCAAAGGTCTGACTACTCGTCCGCAGCCCTTTCAGCTGGGGTTAGCGTAAAACCTCTATGTGACGCCATTCCCTACGACTTTGTGCAATGGGGTGCAGGTTTCGCCAAAGATCCGTATTGCCGAAGAGTGGTGAGTGTGCTTGCGCGATATCCGACGCGGTAAGGTGCTGGTAGAGGGGGTCATTAATGTGATACGGTTTAGGGACGGGATTTGGAGATTGTCTAGCTTGGTAACGTTGGTACGCTTGTGTCATGGTGATTTCTGGCCAATGTAATCTAGGGTGCCCTACTCTGCGTCTATGTAATCTGCGATAGGCATGGGCTGATTGGAAAACGGTCTGGTGTTCTATGGTGTCGGCATGTCGCAATATGTGTCCGAGATAAGAAATTCTGGCGGAGATGATACGCTGCGAGGGGGAAAGAATAGCTGGGGCGTGTTCATAAAGGAGGCCGGCAATGTATTCGTTGGAACATTGCTGGTCTGAAGGTGATAGGATTTTATGGTAGTACGACGATTTGAGGTTAAAAATCTGTCGTAATACTTGGTAGTGGAGCTTATTGAGCTTAGTGAGGTTAGCCTGGGAGTACATCTGTGACTCCGAGCCGTAAAGAAGAATGGCAAGCACTAGTTGGTTATGGACCAATAGTTTTCTATTAACAGAGATTGACGGGTGGCGGAAGAAGTCCTTCAAGGACTTGGCCGCCTGCGATGCCTGGGCATATCGCTTGTTGGTATCCTTTGTGGCAGAAGCGTTAGTGGTTAGAACCGCACCGAGATAGTCGGCGTGATCAGTTGGCTCGATTTTTAAGGAAGGGTCCGGTTTAGGATAACGAGCCTCAACACAAAAATCGCAAGTACATGGGAGTTGGTAGTTTTTGATTAGATAAATCGGAAGTGTGGTGTTGATGGTAAGCAAATGGCATTTTTCAATATTTAAGGACATGCCTCTTCTGAAAGCGAGGGACTGTAAGGTATGTAGTAGTCGGTGAAGCGCCTGTTGAGTACGCGAGAGTAGGACAGTGTCATCTGCATATTCTACGTCGCAAAGGGGGGAGTCAGACTGAAGTACCGTAGGGAGAGGGCCAAAAGCACTTTTGTAAGTATCATACGTGTCCTGGAAAAGCACCGATAAGGTGATGATGAATAAATAAGGCGAAAGTGGGCAGCCTTGTCGTATACCTCTGGAAAATTGTTTGCGGGAGGATCGGGCGTTCGAATCTTTTACTGCAAATTGGCAACCTTGGTATATTGAGAGAATTGCTGCCGTAAATGCCGGGTGAACGCCGATTCTTAGCAAGGCATTTTCTATCGCGACATGGGTGACGGAATCGAAGGCCTGCGCCCAGTCAAGAAAAAGGGCGTAAAAAGTTTCTTGGTGACGTTCGTGAAGTTCTATGAGTCGTCTGATAATGAACAATGGGGTTGAAGTGGATCTGCCTGATCTAAAACCGAATTGAACTGTGGAGATGCGGTCGTCAATTGCCGTTTTTAAACGATAATGAATCATGGAAGCGTAGATTTTATAGACGGTGTTGATCAACGAGATGGGACGATAACTTTCAGGAAGAGTGGGATCTTTCTTTTTGCCCTTGAAAATCATTATTACGTCGGCGATCTTCCAGCTGTCAGGAGAAGCAGCTTCCTTGAAGGCTTTGTTGAAGTGCGCGAGTAATGCTATATGTACTGATCGTGGGGCAAATTTCCAGAGCTCAGCTGGGACACCGTCAGGCCCTGCGGCTTTGCGGTGTTTCAAGCGCGACAATGCGCGCTGAAGGTCTTGGTCATCGAAAGGAGAAAGGTCAAGAAGGGCCGGGGGAAATAGTAAGGTACTAGGAAGGGGAGGAGTAGGGATGTGGTTCCATACGTTAGTGGATAGATGATTCGCAAAAACCTGCGGTTTCTCTGTGGAGGTGGACATACGGCCATTGGGCTTACGTACGCCTTTTGTTTTGGGATTGTATGACTTGCGCAAGAAACGTAGAGTGGACCACTGTTTGGAGGGTGGACCGGTTGAATCTTGTAGTAGGTTGTCACAGGTGTGTTGTCGTTTTTCCTTTCTGGCTCGACGCTTAATAATTTTTCGCAGCCTTTTGAGTGTTTCATGCTCCGAAGGGGGGGTTGAGTGAACAATGTCTATGAGACGTTTGGTCTTGTTAGAGAGATAGGAACGCTTGTACTGCGTTGGTAGAGTTGGGGGGGGCGCGGCGGCAATTGCCGCACGTTGTAAGGCTCCTGCCTGCTCGGCTAAAGTGAGGTCCAGGAAAGCGGCAGGAGCCGGCGCTGTGGCGTTTTCCACTACTAGTGGTCGAACGGGCGGGGCGTGTCTGCCCCTTTGTGCATCAGTAGAAACTCCTCTTTTAGCAAGGGAGTCAGCACGGTCATTGCCTTGTTGCCCGGAGTGGCCCTTTATTTTCAAAATTGATATGGGCATATGGGGGAGTAAGAGATCGAGAGTTTTATGAATGAGTGATAGTAGATACGTATGTTCTGTGGTGGTGGATAAACCATGTATGAGGTCAAGAGCGAATTGGGAATCTGTGAAAATGTTGAGTGACGAGATGGAGTGAGAAGTTCGGTGCCGAAGAACATAATCCAATGCTTCGAGAATTGCTTGTAGTTCACCTGAGTTGTTGGAACCGACGGGTGCTTGGGGAAGGTTGAGGCCTACTGGCCCATACGAGTCCAGATGGGCGCGTGCATCCTGAAAAGTGAACGCCCAACCTGCCGGGTTTCCTACAGCTACGTGGTATTGGTCTGGGCAAGAGCCATCTGTATACACGTCCGTGGCTCCCGGGATCTGATCGTGTTGGAGCATGGACTGCGTTCCTAATATGGGGGCGAGCGCCCTCAAGAAACTCGCGCGAAACTCGCGCTTGTCCTCTATCGTGGCTGGGGGCTGAATTTTTGGGGCGGGAGGGTCTGCAGGCTTGGCAAATGCATCGAAAGTGATTTTAACATAAAGTGGGTAGTGTCGATGGAACCAGGGAAGATTCCATTTAACTTGCGAAGAAATGGCAGGTAGATTGTGTAAATGGTGTCTGTGAGTCAGGATATGGTCTATGCATGAGAAATTAAGCGGGGTTGGTGTGAGTGGATCAGCGGAGGGTTCAGAGGCTATTTCGCGGTAAGTAATTCGTTTAGAGGCTGGGCGAGTATGGAATGAAGACGCGAGTAAAAATTCATTGTTGGCAAGGAATTCCGTAAGCATCTCGAAGTTGGACTGAAAAGTAGAGTCTGGGGAGCCTGGCGATGGAAAGGTCACTGGTCCAATGAAGTCCTGGGGGTCAAGAAGATCACACTCGTGAACACGGGCATTAAAATCGCCCAGGTATATTATGAGCGCAGGCTTAGGAAGGAGATCGTGGAGGTCCTGTAAGGAGGACCAAAAAGACTCCTTGCGAGCAGCGTCTTGGGCAACGTCAGAGAGTTGACTTGGCGCGTAAACCGACACTAGGTGGGTCTGGAGAGGTTGAGTTCTTAGAGTGAGGACTGCCAAACGGCCTGAGTAGGGGAGAAAATCAGAGATGAGTGGGACACTGGTAGGAGCGACGTAAAAGCCGACCCCGGCCATGTGCTCTTGCGGGGTTCCAGAAAGCAGAAGGCGGCCACCCTTGGGCCTTAGCTCATCCGAGGATTGCGACTTTGTTTCTTGGAGCGCTATTATATCAACGGAATGGCGCCTAGCGAACATAGCTAACGATTCGTGCTTGGCATGTCCTATAAGGGTTTCTATGTTGAAGGTGATGACATGTAGCTCGTTTTTCTCTGGTCTGAGCGGGAGTGTCCGCTGGGGAAGGTCGAGGCAAGAGCGCTGAACATATCTCTTGAACAGATCGGCTCTGGAGCCCGAGGTGGGAGAGAGGGAATTGCGCGGAAAGGCGCGTTGAATTTGCAAAGGGCTATTCGTTACCCTTTTCAGGGGGAGCCGGGGGTGGACTAGGGTAAATTTTCCATCCTCCAGCACGTCTTGGATCCATTTACGGTAGTCGCGTCTAGATTGCGCGCGGTTAAGCTGATATTGAGATTGCCGGCGAAGCATAGCGTTAGTGGAACGTAGCTGTTGGTGTGTTCTTCCCCCTGACGCACAGCGAGATTCGTGGCCACTAGCCTGAGTTATCTGTTGTCTGTTGTACGCGCCGTGGAGCGCGAAGAGGTTGCGCAAACAATTCTTGGGCTGACCGTGGCCCCCCGGCGTGCCGCTGGCGGCTCTCGCAGCACAGAGATGCGTGTATAGATTGCGGGCTTTTGTGCCATAAAATACCTGGTATTGGCGACGTCCTCTTCTACAAAACCACAGCGACAAATGTGCTTGACAATAAACGAATTTATGGATCATCATCCCGTTTTTGAGAGTAATAGGCCAGGAATGAAAATATGATGGCATATACTCAAACGACCTGTCTATGAGTGAGCAATTACAAATCCCACACCAAGTATTGCCGTTTACGGCGTGC